AAGTTACAATAGACTAGCAAGACTTTATTACTTTTGCACATTTAAACTGACAGTTTAAGGATACTTTGCCTGTAGTTACTGTTCTTAAAAGTTTAAAAGTATTTGTTTTGACATAAAATTGTGAATGTTTTTTGTTATATTTTTAAAGCTATGTATTTGTTTTTAAATATGTGAGAAATGTTTATAAAACCATATTAGTATTAGGAGTTAAGTGCCTAATACATACGGACTGTTACATATTTTTCACATAATACGAAGGCTACAACTACAAGTTTTATTATAATTCTTATTTTGAAAGATACAAGGCCTAAAAACGAAAATTAATATATATATATATATATATATATTTCTTATTTTCTTAAAGATCGATTACATAAATTATATATCAGTATTCAAAAGTTTATGAGAGATTTTCAATGTACCTACTCAATAATAAATAGGGACAGTTTATTTAAAATCATTGGAAAAAAAAATGAAAACAATAATAACAATAAATAGATAGTTTACTTAAATCTCGATAATAAGCATTGCATGACATAAAAACGTACTGAGGTTGTTGTTAAACAAATATTCTCACTTACACTTTCTTTCTCCTGTACAAAAGAATAAATCAAAAAATTCTAACAATCAAAAGATAAGAACTTCCTTAACCATTCACGATCTTAAAGCTTACAAATTTATTTTCTACATAACATTGATAACAGATTGTCTAACTTGTGTGATCCGTTGTTACAGTCACCGGAAGTTTATAAAGGGCTTCGTCAGCTTTCGCAGAGATTCTCAAAACTGTAACTGTAGTACGTCATTAGCACGGGAACTAGTTCACATTGTTGAGTGTTCAATTTATGACGTACGAATATTTTTGAATGAATACCCTTAAAACTTACGATTCTCAGTCTAACGATGGTCTCTATCGAAGTGTTGAATATTAAATCTTGGTAGAGGCCAATTAAATCATAAAAATAATTTAAGTGTCACATTAATAGACGCATTTTTAACTATTTAAGTATATTTATACATACCTATAAAACTTGACTACGGTTTATTATGACAAATATGATTTAAGAATTGAATTTCTTTTAAGTTGACTGAATTTTTTTTGTGTTTATGGATTGAAAATTAATTTACTTACATATTCACAGGCATATCTCACTGTCTAATAAATAGATGAGTTCGTCACCTATCGCAGCTTCATTTACATACCTAGGTATATTCTATATGAAACTGCAAGCAGTCGTCATTAATTGAGAGTCTCTTTGACCTGTAGTCTTATATTAATGCTTTATGAATCAATTATCTGCGATAATACTTGCGAAAAGGAGAAGGTGGGCTCTCGATACCATTTCCTTTAAAATGCCATTCATTCATTTAATTCATAAGAATATGTCAGCCGACGCGAAGCATAACAATCATTCCAGAATAAGAGATTTTTCGGGTACACTGATACCTAATAGGTACCGAAAATCATTATAAATTATTTATCCTGTTGTTTAATTAACTTATAGTCATACTTTAACAAATAACAACTCTTGTATCCTTTATGGTATTTCAGTCACACTTTGTTGTTCTCGATAGATCAGGCCGAGTTCTCAGCACCAATTTATTCCTAATAAAACCTTTATTATATAAGAACAGCAATCAGGTAAATAAGGTAGTGGGCGATTGTCAAATCGTGTATTTTGATAAACAGAGAATCGAATCCTACCGGTTTCCCCTTCTCAATACAGGTCAGTGTTCTATACGGCTTAACCAGAGAAATAAGTTAGTTTCAACTGAAGCTTTTGAAGTCTCTTAAAATGACCAGCTGAATCGTACTAGAATTAGCCACATACCTAAGTACTTTTAGTGACATGTACAAGTAATCGAGTGGTATTTTGGTTAGTGCTGTTTCATTGATAGACACTGGTACGAAGTATTTTGGAAACATTAGTGTTAACAGGGTTCAAAACGTGACGTAAATCAAAACGTAATTTAAGGTCTTCAAAGTAACGAAGACTTTGAAATCAGATATCTTTGAGAATATACACGGAATTTGCTTCCCTGTCAAAAATTGCATTCACAACTTATTAGCTAGTAGCTCTATGCTATCTGATTAGATATTAGATGAACTCTAAATTCAGGTGTTAATTAAGTGCAATTTGAATAAAAAGACGCACAACCGTTGTAAAAAGAAGTTATAGGACATTTTCTTTTTCTATAAGTAAACATATTGATGTAGAATAAATTGCTGTTGACGATGGAAGTTGAACGAGGCTTTTAAATTAGAATTCAACAACATAAAAAGAATCTCCAGCCCATATCGTTGTCTCTTCGCCAAGCGGTACAAAAGAGACATCTCAGATCATACAGTTGACGGGGCAGCCCCAATCAAGAATAGAGATCAATCCTGAAAAAGCAACGCAGTCTTCAGTCTTCTAGTGATGACACTAGAAGCTGTTTCTGAGTTTCATATTTTTAAGTTCAGATTAAACAGACACCAGTTATATGTATAATAGGAAAGAAGTCATCTCTAATATATTTTGATTTTAACTCGATAAATATTTACTGATATTCCAAATATTTTTCATTAGACTCTCAGTTTTAAATGCAAAAGACTACGTAATGTTAGAATTTTATCAAAATCCCCTCAAGATATTTAAGCATTATATACAGTGTATTCTTAAAATTGAAAACTGTTTTCATTTCGAAAGACTTAAGAGTTCTTACCCGTTAATTTTCTTTCAGTTTATAAATTAAACTTGGGTGAAACCTGCTGCTTAAATTTATGCGAGTATTTAACTTAGGCTTTTATATTATAATATAGTTTGTTAAGACAAGAAGAGTTTACTTTGTTTTCAGTTTAAAATTTATTTTGTTTTACTACTTCAGATCTGTTTTTTTAGTTTAAGTCTTTTTGCGTATATCGTTTATCTTTACATTTAAATCATTAGATTTAAATATGAATTATTTCATTGACCATGTAATGATATCTAAATGAACACTAGGATAGGTGAATTTTCTTTACACATCACATTACAGAGGATTTGTTCATTTATCTTATTTAGAGCATTCAATCTTTTTTACTAAGACGAGTCATTTACGCATGCATGCAACTAACTTATGATATCATATAACATTGAAATGAAACCATCAATACCTACTATTAATTCATTCGTCTTCATATAGCACTCATTGTTAAAAGTTTTCAGATTTGTAGCCTTACTCTCCCTTAAAATTCAATTCAATTTATCAAAACTAACTTGAGTTATGAGAGCATTTGTCAAAATTTTTTAAACTTATAAGTAGTTTAAGGTTCCTTAATATATTATACAAGCTTAAGTTCAAGAAAAATCTGTGCATCTGTGCATCTCTTAAAAAGCTTAGTTTAAATTCACATGTATTTTATTAATCTGCAATTAAACAAAAAAAACTACTGATTCCTGATATGAAATATGTACCTATTTTGTATATTGAACTACAAATTTTGATTCAGAATTATTAATATTTACCCTTTTAACATAAACTTAGTTATTTAAAGTGAGATACACAAACAACTATGTGTGTATTGAGGGTAGTTTCGAACTTTCCGAACTTACATTCGAAAATAATTGTGTGTGGTCTAAGGCAGAATTTTCTTGGACATTATTAAAGCCATAATTGTTACATAAAAGTTTCTTATTAATATTGTTAATATATCTGAAGCCTAATGTTTTTGAATGTAACATTTAAGTGTTATGTACCTACATATGTTAGGTAGGTTGTAGTTATCAAAATTGTATCGCAGAGACATTACCAAAAAGCAATAAGTCATGTATTTAAGTACTTAATGTTTAATTTCCATAAAAATTATATTTATCAAAAACGCTTTATTCTTCTGAATTAATTTTGTAATCATGAAATATTGATTTTGAAGGTGAATTCTACCTGAATCCATTACGTAGGAACTTTTTGTTACTAAATAAGATTTGTCTGCCTTTGAAGTGTGAAGTTAATCTGTTTTTAATAAAACAAATCAATTTGTTCTAACTGAATAGGATATTATTCAATAGTATTGTTTTGTTTCTTTAATTGTTTATTAAATAGTAGATTGCTTATAGCTTTATGACCATAGCATCTCAAAGACAATGTGTATTGTGGAATATGTATATACAAAATATCTGATTACAGGGAGAAAATAAAGCACAGTAAATTTCATTAATAGTTTCGTTTTATTATTATTTTTTTTAATAAAAAAAAAACTACGAGGCTCATAACATTTCGACGCTTCAATCAGAATTGTGTCAAGTAAAGGCACTTTACTTTATTTTTACAAATTAATTACATTACAAAGGTTATTTTTTTCTTTTTGAAATCTTCAAAGACTTTTCTTCACTGATTAATTAATTAAAACAAATTCTTTACATAATTCTAAATGATAACATAATCTCCATTTTATTCATTTTTCTTCATCACGTATTATTGAAAGAAACAACACAAATATTTATTTGGACTAAACATATAGAAAATATATGTTCATACATCATAATTTCATTTTAAATACATATAAAAAATATTTATACTCATATCAGATACTTTGCTTTCAGACCACCAAGTTAAATATAGTACTTTTCCGCAATCAGGAAGTTTCGACGAAATCTAAATGTGTGTTGTAACTTTGAATAACACTGGTGAAAAGTCCAAAATTGGTTCATATTTTTAAAATAGCATGAAATTATTGTAAATACACATTTTGGATATAATGATATAAAAGGGACTTTAAGATTTAATAACCTTTAGAAAAAAAAGAACTAAAGTTCCTAAAGAGCTTTAGCAAAAACAGGAAGATTTTTTTTAATTTTTGTCTATTTGTTTAAGGGGACATTAAGTGACTAAAACTGAGAAAAAAATCTAGGCAGGCACAAAAAGCGGATGTATCAGATAATAAGATATATTCATATTAGTCACTTAGTACTTTTTTGGGGCATAAGTGTCATATATGGTCAATTCTTACAATATATCTTAAAATATTTCACTATAATTGTTTATTGTTCCTGAAGACCAGCAGCTTTGTTAATTCTCACAACTTTACCTTGCATTTCCCGCGGAATGCCATGCCTTTCGGTCATATGCCGTCTAACTGTAGAAGTTTTAGCGTACGTTGCACCACACTTACTACATAAATATACATAAACTCTATCGTGTACGTTATTAGCATGGGCCAACATTTCGCTACGCTGAAAAAACTTTTTGGGACACCGTGGACATTGTATTTTCTTTTCCGTGTGATATATTAGGTGTTTCTTCCATATACCACGCCTGCGGAATGTTAATCCGCACTTCTCGCAAGTATATGGCCGTTCGCCTGAATGGATTCTTTCGTGTTCTACCAAATCGAATTTCCTAGGGGCTTTGAAAGGACAATGCGAACATTGTAAATATGGACCGGTCCCGTGTTTAGAAACTTGGTGAATTTGGAGTTCAGTCTTCACTGGAAATCCTTTGCCGCAGTGCTCGCAAATATACCTGTCGAAAGAACAGATAATACTTAATATATAATATATACATTTGCTTTGTATAAGGACTCTTTTGACTTTCAATGCCTTATTATATTATACTGCCTTAAATACCTTAATTTCATAATAAGATCTAAGATTTTCGCGAGTATGTAGTTTATACCTTAATTTCAGTCTATATAAAAATCTCATAAGATTCAGTAACCTAAAGAAAATCACAATACACAAGATGTGAAATTTAAGGATTATTTTCTTATAGGCAGTTTACTCGCTTTCATAAGGTCTATATGAATTACTAAATAAAGAAAAGCATTTATAACCCTTACAATTACAGTGAAGCACTCATTATTTCTTGTATTTCTACTTCAAACCATTTAAATAGGTAAAATATTATTAACAGTTACAATTTGGGGGTCATTGACCTCATTTATACATTTCACTACAATTTATTTTTTTAAGGACTATCGAGATTGACATAGTTATACTCTAGGCGTCTTATTAATACTAATATACCAAAACCCGTGTAATTCATCTGAAAGTATCTTACAATAAGGCAATTCTACTTTTATGTATGACATAAAATTGTTTAAAACAATTAGTGTTATATATACTAATTAAAGACTGCAATAATTCTATTTAATATTTGTTGAATTGAAATACTCCTGAAATTTGCATTATAGACACATATGTTTATATACATATGTATATTATATATACACTTTTATTTTCATCATTAATGTTTTTATTATACATTTCAATATATAAACATATTATGTAAGAGACCAAATTGAGTTAGAAAATGTCTATACAAATATTACCAAATCAAAAATAGTGAAACAAAAAACTCATAAAAACTATATACCTACAAGTAAAAATGTGTGAATAAATAGTTTATTAAAATAAGCTTATTCTGTAAATATACAGGCATCGGTAGATTTACACATGTTTTTCCTACATCCAAATGGAGAGAAAATAATTATATTAAACACAAATAAGAAAGCTAGATCTAAAGATTACCTGTCTTTTACTTACATATTATTATTATTTGAATACTTAAATTGTAATAATTAAATACTTAAATAATACACACAATACTTATAACATAATAGTTAGATCACTTATTATGAATCCACTTCTTATATTTAAAATAATCTAATAATTATGGTTTAAAAATCAATATTATAGTTACATCTAAATACAAATTCCAATTTAGGGTAAGTCCGGGGTAGATGGCCAATGGGAGAAATGACCTATCTAAATATTTCTAGGACTCGTTCATTAGATGTCAGTTTTAGTTATTAGTTCGCTGCTTGTTGTGCGTGTGAGCAACGGTACTTCAAAACATTTCGCGACACAAAAAGAAAAAGTAAATAAATCCTTTGGTTTTTGTTTCAACTATTCTAAATATTTTTTTTATATTAATTCTTTAACACAATTGTGGTGTCACTTTGTTAAAATAATGGTGTTATTTGTATTTGTTGCAAAGTATACAAACAATGATACGTTATAATCTTAAAATTATTTGTTTTGTGTTATGACTTGTTTTTGTTTTCGTTGTAGCTATATCTCCTAAAAAAAAGGAGAGATAGCCAATTACAGTTGGTATATGATGGCCATGTTGCCATGGTGCAGAAATAAAGTTTTTTTGCAAATATCATTTATTCTCATATTTGTTTTAGATACCTAATAAATATAAGAGAAAGTCAGTGAGAGAGGAAACTGGACAAAAAATATCTAAAAGCTGCTATTAATGCTGTGAAAAATGATGGATTATATGTTTGTCTCCAGTATCAAATACCTAGAAAAACATTAGAAAGAAGGGTAAAGACAAGACAAAAAAGGACCTATGGGACCATCTCCTTTATTTATAGAATAAGAAGAGAAGCAATTGGTTATTCTTATTAAAACAATGCAATCTAAAGGCTTTCCTTTAAATGGATGTCATGAGAAAAATAGCTTACGAATTAACCGAACAGTTAAAATTAAAGCATAGATTCAACAAAGAGAATCAGAACTTGATATAAAAAGATTAAGAAAAGAAAGTTAGACGAAAAGGATAACTGTTGTGGGTGTGGAGAAAATTACTACGAAACACTTGTCATTGAAGATTGGCTTAATGCTATGGCCATGACACCAAAACAACTCGGAAGAGATGGCCAATTGTGATTTTTAAAAAACTTAAATTAATAAGGTGATCTCATTAGAAATTGTAACTTTTATGTGTATTACATCATAGTTGATTAATAAAAGTTTAATAAATAATAAATATTATCACAAAAACATGAGTACAGTGTATACTCTATATAACGACACTGAAGGGACCGTGCATTTTAGTGCGTTATAGAGAGTTGCCGTTAAATAGAAAGAAGAAAAATCAGAATTAGAAAAAGACAAAGTTTATTTCAGACTAATGTTAGTACTTATGTACATAAAAAAGAATGTTATAGTTTGAGATTTTGTGAACAACTTTTTATGTTAACGTATAGGTAATACAAGACTCCTACTTATGGTCAAAAACTGTCGACACGTTTAAGCAATTTGTAATTGTAAACAAAAGAACGAATTTCTTAGAAAGTTCGGTATGCATGATAGGGACAGTCGAGTTTATTGCGGGCTAGGATAACAAAGCGACAAAGGAACGTACACAGCTGCACAGTTTTTACTAATTTTAGCAACTTAAAAGGTACTTTTTATTACTTAATTGTTGTCGTTATTGAGAGTGGGTGGGACGCTATGTAGAGTGTATCATTGTATGGTAGACAAGCGAAACCAACCAAAGTCAAATGATTTCGACGCTTTAGAGAGTTTGTCGTTAAATCGAGTGTCGTTATATAGAGTTTACACTGTATTTGATTTCTGATACAGCTTAGAAAAAACTATGGCTAACTACCCCGGACTTACCCTAAATATGACTCTTTATATCAACATTGTGATGAAATCAATCCCGGCATGATAACAATATGTTTGGCTGAATTAATGATTTTGTTAGTAAAGCTATGTTTCTTACCTACATCCGTTGTGACGTTGCATATGATGGTCATATGTGTGTTGGTTTGCTAATACTTTATTACATATACCACAAACTAAACTACCAACTTGTGTACTTTTCTGCGATACTCTCTGTTGTATGAGAAGCATTCTACGTGTTTTATTTTCCAACTTTTTCCTTTTCAATTTCCTCTTTAATGATTCCCCTAACTCTGCAGTAGCACACATATTAGAGTCTATAAGATTTTCCATTTTGTTTAACACATTCTCTATACAATCACTTTCATTTTGAGCACTATGGAGACAGTCTTGATCAGATTTCAAATCATTTCTGTCTTTGTTGCAAGTAAGAGTAATTTCATTTCTTGCCTCTTCTGATGGATTTTGCAGTTGTTGTTCTTTTTTACGTACACGCTTTTTAGTATTTAAATTTTCGTTTGGGAAATAAAACCTTAACATTGTGTACTCAACTATCTTTTGTTTATAATCGCCAGAGGATGTTAATTTATTTAGGCAGGAATCATTCGATTCACACATGAATTTAAAAAATATTGCTTGTTTAAGTAATTGCAAACATTTTATACACATAGCAATCGGTAAACAATCTTGCTTGTCAATGGATATTTTAGCGAAATTAAGGACTGCCTTTCCGTATACACTGAGACCGTCTTCAGTCTTACTATCAATTAAGGACACCATTTTTTCACTGACGCTATAGTTCAAACACAAACGACAAATTGATTTATAAATTTTATCGTAGGTCTCCATTTTAATTACCGTCAACAATAATATTTTTTACTTTGCGGTTTTAATTTTTATGTCACTCTGACATTTGACAACTGATTAGGACAAGCGTCACGTTCCGATACTCAAAATAAAATTTATAGTTAAACATTTAAAATTCAAAGCCATTTATTTTAAAACCTATATATTATTAAAATATAAAAAAAAATCTTATTGTAACCACTATATATTGGAATTTTACAGAAATCTTGAGGTTATTGCCTCAATTTTGATTTATAATGACTAGTTTCAAAATTAAGTAAGGAGTAAGTAGACATTTACCTTCATCAAAAATTAAATTTCGATTAAGAGAATGTAAAATGTGACACATTGCGTCTCATTTATTACTTCGAAATATTAAATTAAATCTTTGTAAATTATATAGGTTGGCAACCAGAGTTTCCAGGAAAACTACGAATAACTCACTTATATGTATATTATAAGAATTACATATTAAAACTTATAACCTATACCTAAGATTGCATGATTTCCCCGAAGTTAGGATAGCAATGCTATTCCATTGCTAGTATCAGGAATCTTTTGGTTCACACGGCTTGGTGTTCGTTCCGCGGTGTCAACAGTGTCACTCGTTATATTATTAACATATTTTATCCATAAAACGATGTTGCGCCGGCGATGTTCATTTATTTTTTAATATGTAGCGTGTACTTCACATAATATATATAAATATTTATCCAATGAATATTTACTTATTATGAAACAAAAAACAATCAAATATATTTTTATAAGTAATGGCAAAAACACATTAGTAGATATTAATTATCATTACGAAGTATATATTCACTTACGTAATTAGGATTTGTAAGATACATTCTATTTATAACAGGTAAGTATACAATAGGTACAAGTTGATAGTTAAATAAAAATATATAGTAAGATTCCTATTCGATTTGAAATATAACAATCCATTACTTAGATTACCAATTATTTTTAAGGGTCTGTCAAATAATTTAATTCTTGTTTTGTGAATTATCGATTCGTTATACATCTTACAAAAGTATATAAAGAATCTTTTATAATCTCAACATTATTTGATGTTTACTATCTTTTTCACATTATGCTTAATGTCTTTTTTTACGAGAAAGAGTAATGAGTTTCCAAAGCTTTGTATAAAATAAAAGGATTTGTACAATGGAAATACAAACAGGTCTGAGTTACCATAACAATAGTGAATGAGATAAAAGTATTAAGGGATAAAGAGTTAAGTACAATTATTCTCACTGTTTTTATACAATGCTGGAACATTGAGCCCATAACATTGTAAGTTTGTTGAATGGTATAGTATACCTATTTTTATACTTGTAAAAGACCTTGACAGCTGTGTCGTAACAATTTATGGAGTTTGGTTTGACATTATTTTATATTATTTTTATACCTAATTAAGTATGTTTGAAGATATTGAAATAATCACAATATAAGCATTACTATCGCTGAACTAGCAAATAATGTTACTGAAAATTTTATATTTTTTGTTAATTAACTTTGCCAGTGCTTAATATATCTACAATCTGTGGCGTACACACCATAGATGCAAATGAGCACTGAATACCCTACCCATATAACAACTAAATCTATTATGTTTAATTTTTATTTACATATTATGTACTTATTATAAGAAATAAAAATGTTAATAAACATTTAAAATGACATTTGATTCATGATTTGATAATGAGTGCCATCTATCAATGTAAAAATCAAACATTTTCGATCGGCCGATGCTAACTGCTAGCGCCGCTATGCAGCCAGAGCGGTGGTATGCACAACCACTCTGTGCTTATTTTCCGTACAAAAATTCTCAACGACGATCTACAAATCTCATGCATGTATGCAGGAAATGTTTGTATGTTTTGTGTAATACTACAACACTTTTATTGTATTAGATTAATTTGTATTGTTTAAAATGTCGTAGAAAGTCCGTTAATTGACAAATAAAACGGGACTCTCTGATTGGTCGGTTCATATATTTTTTTTACCGCCAATTTTGTTATTATTAAATAATGTCATTTGTCAATTGTCTTTCTAAGCGCAAGTGAATTAGTTTTGTTTTGTAAACAGTGAATTAATTTATTAACGAAATGTGGAAAATTATAGCTGTGAGCTCTGTGCTTCTGATATGTGATTATTGAAATTAGTTAGTGAATTAGTTGATATTGTCGTTTGATAATAAAATTAAAATAAGTGTAAACTGTATAGTCAAGGTGTGTGACCAGTTGAGATTGAACCAAAAAAAAGGTAATATTATTCGTTTTAATAAAAAGTATTATGATAGTTTTAATTAATTAGGTTGTGTACAGACAAATAAGTTATTTTGTTTGCCTTGTTTGTTGTTTTGAAATTATAATAATAAGAAAATTTAAATAATAGATGTTCGCTCTGATCGAATTATAGAGGGTGACAACCGGAGGTTCCAGGAAATCTACTTATAGGTATGTATATTAAAATAAAAATTACATATTAAAACTTATAACCTATATCTTAGATTACATGATTGCCCCGACGCGATGTTAGGATGACAATGGCATTCTATTGCTTGTGTGGTATGAGGAATCTTTTGGGCTTTGGCTCACACGGCTTGGTGTTCTTTCCGCGGACTCAGCGGCGTCATTCGTTACGTGATATTTTACCGATACAAAAATGGCGCCCCCGCGATGTTAATTTTTTTTCTTCGTATGTAACGCGTACGTAACAATCGCGCTACTGTAACATTATGCCCGAATATTTAAATGCGTGGTCAGTGGTGGCCTAGTGGTTAAAAAGGCCTGCCTCTCATGCACTAGGGCGCGGGTTCGATCCTGGCGTGAGCAAGTACCAATGTAATTTTTCCGAGTCATATGTACTTTCTAAGAGTATTTAGACATCACTGATTAATTCTGATTCCCAAAAGAGGGTTGATGTCAGGCAGGCGGCCGGTCGTAAAAACAATTAGCCAAAACTACTCACAACATAACATGTAAGGCAGACCCTGGCTATAGCCGGGAAATTGCCAGGTAGAAGAAAAAGAAGGTTTAAATGCGCGAATGTTTAAATGAAATTAATATATTCTGATTACTTCACGTATTTTATTATGTTTAAAAACTACATACTAACGACGTTTCGATTATGTTACAGTAACCGTGATCACGGCATCTCGTCTGCTCGTTAGAAATAATAGTTTCATTTAAAATTTAAATTAATACTTGCAAAAGATATTATTATTATCAATGTTTTAGAGGAGAAAATGAAAAAAATTGGTATTTTATTTTTCAAACATATTCTGCTTACCCTATCCCAAATCTCTTTGCACGCAACTGTCTACAATTATACTTTAATTGGCAAAATCTTAAGTATATGTATGCTAAATACAATCCACAAACTTCGGCTAATTTCTATCAACCCTTTATGAAAGCGTCGCAAACGTGTCTGGTCAAGGTAATTTAAATTATTTCCTAACTCCTTATTTTAAATAAATCGATAAATATATACAGGGTGACTGGTGAATTACTATCAATATTTAAGGAGAATACTTGGTACATGATTCTCATTCGAATTATGTAAAAAAAATAGGTACTTAATTTTTGACAAAATTTCCGTCTAAATAAATAAAGTGTTGACACGTTCCAAGTGTTCCAAGTGTGGACGCGTGCGGCGGCGTGCTGATACAACACTACGCCGCCGCACGCGTGTGTGTGTGTGTGTATACCTAATCTGTAGGGTGTTCACACGATGCGTAATTAATTACATAACTTTTGGTTAACTTTACTTAGAAGTTTATTAATATTTATGTTATATTAATTTTTATTTTGTCATATATGATCGTCAAATATCACGTCCTCAAGTATCGATAGTAATTCACCAGTCACCCTGTATATATAAATAGTTAACACTTCATATGTTACATTTTAATAATAAGGTATACCTGTATTTTGTGAATTTTAATATATTACGAGCAAAGGAAAACTCTCAAACTTTACTTATTATAATTCCAGGAGCGTATAATTAAAGCATTCTTCCAAACTTTTTACAAAACTTGACAATCAAAAAACCGATAATTCACTTTAAATGTCGTCTCTACAGTTCACTGGACATTGCTTGGTAGAAGTTTTGTAAAATTTTTCGAGTATCTTAAGTAATAAAAGTGAAATAAAAGGTCAGTATTATCGGGTAATATACGTATGTTTTTTTTAATAAAAAGCAGTTGGTTTAGTTGCCATAAATACAATATAAAAGGTAGATTTTTTGAAAAAATCTTCGATTAGATTAAATGCTGCTTTAGAAGCAAAATAACACAAGATATCGTTATAGGAGATAATATTTTTCGGTCTGGATGCTTGTATACGTGGGATCACGGTGAATTATGTGCGGTTTCTTCTCTTTATACCGCGTAACTGCGCAGGTCGTAGCGACAATTTTAGGGCGCGACGCGTTATTTTTTGGTAACGTTTTAGAGTTGTTCTTTATTAGATTTTTTTATTTGATATATTAGAAATATTTGATATCGTTTTATTCCTAGAATTTTAAGAAAAAATACCATTAAATTTCATATATGAAGAAAAAATCATTTTTCCTACCTGAATCGGAAAAAAAGAAACATCTTATTTTTGCCATCTCGTGTACAGATAGAAGTGTTTTATAGATGATTTTTTTTTTGGTGATTTAAGCTGTAAAAATAGATAGTAATATCAGTGCTATGTTATTCCTAGGTGCGAGTAAAGCCGTTGTCACTTGAAATAACGCGCGGTCGACTATCAGGCGTTGGTACGTTTTATTGGCTTATGTTGCTTCCAGCCGGTTTAGAGCAATGCGGGACTCAAAGATATTGCGAACGTAATAAAGGAGACATTTTATCCAATTTTACGTGTTCGAGATTATGGGTAAAACTGAAAAAGTGAAATCGTAAATATTATATCTGATAAGTG